TGCCATAATTTATTATTAATTAATTTAAATGACTTATTACATATAAATTATGTATTTATGTTATTAACATTTACAAGTTATTTGAATAAAAAATATTTTATTATCTATCAATAATATAACATATATAGTAACATTTAGTCATTTACATATATATCAAGTAATTTATATATGCATATTTAGCTTATTATATTTAATATAGACAATTTTTTCTATTATTACTCATTTGTATATGGCTACACTCAATGTTTCCACAATTATATTATTATAACCATATTTGAATTTGACCAATTAATAATGTGAAACAAGTATATATAATAGTAAAACCTCTCTATAGTAATACTCTATGTAGGAATAAATAAGAATAAAAAATTATAATCCTAACTTGGACCAGTTATAAATAAGAATAAATTTCACATTGTAATACGTTATAATTTTTCTAGGTCCTATAATAAGGAATTTGCCTCTGCATAATGATAATTATATGTATATTACAAAAAAACATATGCTATGTTACATTAATTGTTTAAGATGAAATAAAATATTTATTTAAAGTTGTTTGAAAGAGTGATTTATGTGTTAGCGTTGTTATTACAACTTTTATCTTGCGGGTACGTAATAAGTCACCAACATGGACACCTTCTTATTGAAGCCAAAATATTTCTAGCTTCTCAAGTAGGTTTAAAGTTTCTTGACACGAAACTTTTGGTATTTTCGTTATCATCCTCAAGATTATCTCCTTTCTCTTCTTGTCTAATTTCAATAATGATTTCTTCTTCAGTTAAAGCATACACAGCTTGTTGCTCATTTAGATGATTGAAAAAGACATTAATAGTCATTTCATTAGTGTAGTAAAGTTGTCAAATCTATTCACTCAATTCATTTATACTATTGAAACATCAATTATAAAATCAAAAATCAAAACAATATTTTTTTTAATCAAAATAATAATTTTTGTAACTATACCTCTAATAAGTTATAACCTCACATATAATTATTATTATGTAGAGGCAAATTCCTTAAGACAAGACCTAGAAAAAATATAATTTATTATAATGTGAAAATTATTCTCATTTATAACTGGCCCAAGTTGGGGCCAAAATTTTTTATGACTACATGGAGGTTATTCCTATATAGAGTATGTAACGCCCACATGAAGGTACGTAATTTAATTTATGCTCTTATACCTTTAGTTGATTTTTACTAAAGTTATTTTGAGAAAATGCCTTAAACTTGCATTAAGGGTAAAATGGTCTTTTCATTCAAAATTAGTTGAAAAAGTGGGGAGTGAAAAGAGATAGAATTTCATGGAGAATGCAATAAAAATGAGGACATTATGGTAATTGACTAAGGGATATAGATGAAATTTTAAAGAAAGTGCAAGGGCAAAATGGGAAACTTCATATATTTTTATGTTATATCAAGGATTGAAGAGTGAAACCCTAGCCACTCTTCAACCCATTTTCACGACACTTCTCCTCTAAATCCTGTCAATTTCTTCACTTCTTTTTCAAAAGAAATTCATAGATTTTGGATATTTTTGAGTGGATTTTCAATCCCAAGCAACTTTATGTAAGATCTTTGCACTAAGAAGTGATTTTTCATTTTTAAAGTGTTGAATTTTGATGGTTTGTGCCAATAGGATTTAAGAAGAAGAGAGTTTGATCAAAGAAGATTCTAAAAGGGGTTGGATTGCTCATATCAAAGGTAAATAAATCCCACCCAAGTTATGATTTGAGAAATCAAGTGTGTAGAAATTTTACATACATGTATATGCTTATGATTTGAGAATTGTTGATGAAATTGATGAATTATTGATGAGTATGATGATTATTGATGAATAGAATTTAGCCATGAGAAGTGGTTTTGGTTGTATGATGATTAATTGAAGTTTGGTTGAAGTTAGAAAGAGTTGAGTAGAATTTTTGGGAGTGTATTGTTTTGGACAAGTTTAGTAATTGTTTAAGGGAGTTTTACTCCAAATATTGGTGGCTTGAGAAATAGATAGAGTTGTAGTCAAATTATAGTTTGATTATGCATGCAATATGTTTGATGAAATGTCCAAGAGAAGTGTATGCATGAGTTTTATTCATTTATGAATTGATATGAGTTTGTAGATGGTAGAGAGAAACTTATTTTTATGCTACATGGCATCCTTGCATTTAAACATTTGCATTTAGAAAGAATTATAAGCATGAAACCATCTACATGCATACATATTCATAAGAGAATGAAAAAACACTAAAGTATGTTAAAGAGAAAATAGAAAGAAATGAGAATAGTAAAGATATTCAAATCTGAAATTTTAGTTAAAGAAGTGTAAAAAGATAAAAAAAAGAGAAGGTTGTTGCAATGGAGAGCACGTGAGTGACAGAGTCCCACATGCACGCCGCCTTTAGTGAGCGGCCTCAGAATTCAGAAAAAAGAATTGTACAGTCCGTTAGAAGTGCGTGTGGATGAGGACTGTACCCAGAATTAGAGAATTCACTCACACGGCCAAGGCTCCAAATCCATGCGTCAACCAAGTCCGATCGGCAAGAATAGAAAAGAAAGAAAGAAAGAATAGAAAAGAAAGAAAGAATAGAAAGAAAGAAAGAATAGAAAAGAAAGAAAGAATAGAAAGAAAGAAAGGAAAAAAATAGAAAGAAAGACTAGAAAACAAAGAAAGAAATAAAGAATAAGAAACAGAAAACATAATAAGAAAAATAGAAAAGAAACTGCATAATCTATGCATTTGTGCATTTGCATCATAAATATGCATAATACCATGCTCATTATTGTGAGTAGTAAAAAATTAGAAAATTGAGAGAAAAATAATGAGCAAACAGAGAAAGAATGAGAAAGAATAGAGAAAGAACAGAGAGAAGAACAGAGAAAGAATAAAGAATACTCGAGAAATGAGTTGTAAGGAAAGAAAATTCAGGATTTAATCAATGGAGAGAGAAAGGTAGTATAGCGGGTTTACTTACTGAGCAATTAGTGCTCACTCCGTTGTTTTCAATGTTTTTGCAAGTAATAGGTGAGTTGCGGTCACTCGGAATGTCACACAGTGGAAGGGATTGAGCTACACTGTCAAGTTGTTATTTTGAGTATATTTTGTAAATATTTGTATATAAAGAAAAATTAAATATAGGCCCTTACTTTATTACTCGTTTATATGTGTATTTTCTTATATATATTTTTAATGAGTTTTATTGATTATTTTACGAGTATACTAGCTAGAAAGAAAGTATTGCAGAATATCACTATAGAGAGGTTTTACTGTATAATATGTAATTGTGTATATACAAAATTATTATCATACGTATATTAATCATAGATTAAATATGTTATTAAATTATCAAAATTATAGGTTATCATATATATATTATCATTACTGTATATATATATATTTTGTATCAACACCCATAAATTCATAGTAGTATGAGGGTCTATTATAATATATGATAAATTACATATGTGTGATTAATTTGTTATATCCTATATAGATATATATATATATATATATATATAATGTGTAACTTTGTATATACAAAATTATATCATAATATATTATCATAGATTAAATATGTTAATATGTTCTTAAATTTCAAAATTAGATATATATATAATATATATATCATTACATGTCTCACATTATATTATGTATCAACACTCAAATTCATAGTGCATGAGAGTTTATTGTAATATATAACAATACAAATGTGTGATTAATTTAAGTTAATTAAGCTATTATGTTATTAAATTTGTATGCAATAATCACTGATTTACAATATGTTAGTTCATAAATTTGATATATATTAATTAACTATATTATTATTAATTGTCATGCTATATATCACTTGATTATACAATATCTTATGTTCATCAATTTACCATACTATATTTAATTAAGCTATATGATATTAAATTTGTCAGCTATACATTACTTGATTATACAATATGTTATGTTCATCAATTTACTATACTGTATTATTATTATTAATTGAAATGCTATCTCATAATATTTAATTTGATTACATTTAGAAAAAAATGAAGCTATTAGTTATTAGATTTGTTATGTTATATCAATTGATTATACAATCTATTATGTTTAAAATTTATCATGTTATGTATCATAATAATTTATTATTTTTAATTAAAAAGCTTATACTTATATATTTAATTATTGATGACATTTGAAAAAAAAAATCCAAACATATTATATATATAAGAAAAACAAAAGTTCATCCAAACTAAACCAAACATAATATAAAAAGAAAAAAAATAAATATATATAATAATGTATATCATGTTTTTTGAACATAAACGAACGATAATCGAACAGATTGTTTACGAACGGATGGATCAGTCGAACGCAGTATGTTCAAACATAAGCAAATGAACATTATTAGTTCGAACTCGAATTGAACATATCGAACGAATATCGAAATGTGCGAACAGTTTGTTACTGAGTCGAATCAAATAATTATGAATAAACATCGAACTGTTCATAAACAGCGTGGTGTGTTGCAGCCCTATTTGTATGTCTAATGAAAATGCCTCTAGACATAACAAGAGGTTTATAATTTATCATGATGTTATGACAAAATAATTTTAGAACAAGTATAATGATTTAAGTCCCCTATATGACACGTGTATGTAATAATTGAAAAATCTAGAGGGTTGTTGTTGCTTTCAAATATGGCAGGCTAAAGGGAGGTGGCTGTAATTCCTTATAATTCAGGGAAAGGTGGTTAATAATCCATTAATTAAAGGACAAACAAAAATAAATATTATTGGATTGGCGGGTGATACAAATAAAAATGAAAAAGTAAAGTAGAAAAAGACAATTCATTTAAAAATGGGGAATGGTCGAGACTTGATGGCATGGAATCCATCATTACCGTTACTGTTACTTCAAATTGAATCAAATCGGAGAGCAAAACAACAGATTATCAAAATATATAAACTCTCCAAATTTCAAATTAGGTTTTTTTTTTCATTTTCTGTTCCCTGATTTGATGGAGAGTAGTTCAGATCAACAACAGATGCGGAATCAAACTCCGATGATTACCATCACACCAGGTAATTCTTTCATTTCTCTGATCCATTTGGTATTTGATGAAATTTGTTCTCTTTTTTTTTTTTTTTAAAATTTTTATTTCGCATTTGGGTTTGGTAGAGTTTAATAATAAGACTAAAAAGGTTTTTCAATGGCATGAGGTGTGTATGATGAAAAAAAAAAAGAATGAAGAATCTTGCTTAGTTTTAGTTCAGCAATCTAAACGACCAAAACTCTCAACGTTGCAAATTCCTGTGAGGTCTTTGGATGGTTCGTTTGGTGAATTTCCAAAAGTAGACATTTCTTCTTCGGTGTCAAGTCCTAGTTCTTCTAGAGCTGCCCTACCCCCTAGACCTAGTTCAGCAAAGCTCAAATCATCTGTGAGGAATTTGCTTCCTCAGAGGAACTTTAGAACAAAAAATTTGTTTCAAGATGGTGAGAAGACGGTTCTCATCATGGTGAGAAGACGGTTCTCATCATCCCGGATTCACCATCATCAGTTGATAAGCCTTCTACATCGACGTCATTTTCTCTTAGTAAGGTTTTTTTCTCTTCATCAAGTAAAGCCGCACATTCTTTACCGGCTACACCAATTGCAAAGTCAGAATCTGTACAGGAACCACCTCTTGCTGTTCAATCTGATATTTCTGTAAGTACCTTTGCCTATTTTGGATGGAGACGTGTTTTATTTTAATTTTTGAATGACATGATATTATGTTTTTTTGTTTTAGAAATCAGAAGTTCGGCAGCATATGACACGCTCGTTGTCAGTTCCGGTGAATACTAAAGTGAGAAGTTTAAGGCGGACTGAATCTGGTGGAGGTTTAATTCGTGTAATTTCTATGACTCCTCGTTCTGCGGCTGCTGATAAGACATCAGTGAATGATGACTCAGCAACTGAAACTGGTAAATGCTAAGTTTTCCTTCATAGGATTTTAAGTGTACAACTTTGAAGGGAGAAAAACATATTTACCAGTAATATTGTAGACTCCAAGTCCTGACTGGAGGGTCATGATGGTCTCTACCCTACTTTCCATAATTAATTCAATTGTGAGTTTTACTTATGGTATTGTATTCTGTACAACGTGGCTTCATAGGTTTCACTTGATGCAATTTTTCCACATTAAACTAAGTTGTTAGGGTGGAACTACAATACTCACCTGCCAAATGAGGGAACTGATAGTTTTTATTCAGAAATTTGCATCTCTATCTCTTTATTTATGGTTTTTCATTAACTTAAATTTAGTTTTCATCAATTTGGCATTGGAGCAAAGTTTTTATTTTTGAGGAAAAAACTTCACATTATCTCAATAGACTTGATGGCACCTGAACTTCATACCTGTTTGAAGAATTATCATTACATTGATAAAAGTGGGGTGTGTTTATCCCCAAAGGGTGCAAACAATTTGACTTGGACATATAATTCTGCTTGTCCTACCTGAATTCCTTACAAGAGAAAAGAAATTAAAAGAATTATAATTACTTCAAGTTGAGATCNTGTCCCACCAAAGTATAATGCACATATATAACATAATCATCTGGAGTAGGGATTGGGCTTTGGCTATAATCACCTCTTCAAAGTAGTGACACTGTTTTTTGTACATTGACTTGACAAATGTTATTGATGACAAATATATATTCAAAATCATGTCTCTTAGATTTTCTTTTGGGCTCATATTTAACAATATTTGATTTGATTTTCTTGTTGGGGTTATAGATTCTTCTTTATATGACTAATAATTAGTTTGTTTATGATACAGGTTAAAATGCCGCTTGCCAAGACTGAGTTTTGATTGGGTATGTTTATAAAGTTTCTAATAGAAAGTGGAGGAACTTGAGATATTGAGAAAGGCTGATGAATTTGTTCTATTTTTAGGCCTTGTCTTGATGGATTTACACGGTATAAGAAACTTAAATTACACATGAGAATTTGGCGGTGCTGCCCTTATTTTTAAGGGACAGCCGATCAAGCATAATCGGAAATTTTGCTAAAAAAATGTGAAGTTTTCTCTCTTATTATTATTATTTTTTTTTTTCCAATGTTTGAGAGAACTTTATACAGGTTAAAAATGTTACCATTCATTTTATTGATTGTTTGATTAGGATGTTGGTATTTTAATTGTACGAGTAATGTTAGTGAGATGGATATGTTTCTTGTGATATGAAAGTTACATTTGTTTTATGGAATGCTTTGTTTGTAATATCAATCTAGTTTTCAGTCTTCATTGTTCTCTAAATTCATTTCACAATAGCCAAGAGGGCATAAGATGTCGTGGAGATAATGGTGGTCGTCATTGTTATTATTTATACCTAAATATTTACTTTTCTTATTTTCTTTATGTTTTTGTAAAACTCCCATTGAATTAAATATTTTAATAAATCGAATCAATTGATATAGAATACAGTAAGTAATGCACAAATTGACCATGTTTAGGCCTTATCTCTATTGTTCCTTGCATAGAGCAACAACAGACCCTCTCCATCAATTAGTGCATCACTAGGTTTCTCAACTGTGACAAGGAAAAAACATTGAAATGCTGTAATCGCATACTAAATTACTTGAGACAAATTTTACTCTCAAACATCAACATAATTAATGAAATAATTTAAACATATAAAATTTCATGAAGCATGAAACAAAAGTACACACACCAAGAAATGTTAGAGAAGGTGTTTTAGAATTAATAAATTATTGTAGAATTGACTCTCTGTAATAATGTTTATTGATCAATAAAATGTATTTTTATTCTATATCGTGTAAATCATATCTATACGTATTGATATATGTTCTTAGAATGGTAGAACCGTGACGAGGGTATCAAGTGTTTTTAATCTTGATAGTGAGAACCTTTTTTTTTGTTAAGTAAGTAATAATATTAAAAAAAAAAAAAAAGAGAAGAATGTACAAAGGCCTGATAAAGGGCGACCAGCCTATTTTGGGACATGCTCCAAAATAGGAATCAAAGAAAACAAGCCTACAAACGGCCATTCACTCTAGGGGTAAATCTTAAACCAAAAAACGATCTGATTAGTAACGGCTAGATCTATTTGCCTAAAATAGATCTGGTTGTTAACGACCAAGTCCATGGCCGTTAACGGCCAGATCTTGCCTAGATCTGGTGATAATGGCTAGGGAATGGTCAGATCCATCGATTGGCTCGAAATGGCCAAAATAAATCTGGCCATTTTCGGCCTAATATGACCGTTTTCGGCCACATTATGGCTAGAAACGACCATATCAAGGCCTTGCAGTCACGGTGAGCTACTCACGACAAACTTTTGATGACTTTCGACGGTGGTTTGTGGTGGCGGCAGGGGTGAGGTTGATTTTGTCATAAATTAAAGTTATATAAAGGGGGTGTTTTAGCTAAATATGAAATATTGAGAGTTAAAAAAATTATTCAAAAATTAATAATAAAAATAATATATATTAATTTTAAAAGAGGACAATTTAGTAATTTAAATAACAAATCCACCAATTTTTCCCCTAACCAAACATATTATAAACATGCTTGCCAACTAACCAAACATATTTTCTAAAGATTCCCAGTAATCTTCAAGGTAATAAGATTCAAGTAATCAACCATTCCTAGTAATTTAACATTCTCTGAACCAAACACACCCAAAGGGAAAGTTGCATGGATTGCTGCTGGAAGTGTAGCAGCCATGGTTGAAGAAGGAGAGCGTAAAAGCGAGAGAGGGTGAGAGAGAGGTTTTTTTTATTATTATTTATTTATTTGAAAAAAGTTGTGAGGCATGCGCAAATACTTTCTGGCATTTGACTATTTAATTTAACAAAAATCTGTAATGACAGGGATGGGCATGGGCGGGGACCCCTGCATCCAAGCCCACCAAAAGCCCAAAGGATTCCCTAAATTCAGCATTCCTTGGATCGAGGATTTCAGGGAATCCCCAATTCAACTAGTAGGATTGAGAAATCCCCAAATAAAAAAAAAAAAAAAAAACTTTATAATGAATCAAATGATACATATACTAATAATATAGTATTATACTTGTACTATATTAATAGGTTAAGGAGTTTATATCCAATTTTGTTTTAAATATCTTATCAATTACAAAAAAATATGGTTATGAAATGAACTTATGTCTATTTGATAAATGAAAATTATGTTTATTTAAGATATGATTTTTTTAATCTCTTATCAAATTATTAAATAAATTTAAGATAAATTCTAAATAAATAACTACAATTCTAATCGTAATGTCATTGCCATATATTATATTAAATAATTTAAATGACTTTTACATATAAATTATGTATTTATGTTATTAACATTTACAAGTTATTTGAACAAAAAATATTTTATACTATCAATAATATAACATATAAACATTTAGTCATTTACATATATATCAAGTAATTTATATATGCATTTAGCTTATTATATTTTAATATAGCAATTTTTTCTATTATTACTCATTTGTAATGGTTTCACTCAATGTTTCCACAATTAGATTATTATAACATATTTGAATTTGATCAATTAATAATATGAAACAATTATATATAATAGAAAACCTTTCATAGTATACTCTATAAGGAATAATAAGAATAAAAAATTCTAATCCTAATTTGGGTCAGTTAGAAATAAGAATAAATTTCACATTGTAATAAATTATAATTTTCTGGGTCCCATATTAAGGAATTTGCCTACATAGTAATAATTATATTTATATGCAAAAAAAGCATTGCTATGTTACATTAAATGTTTAAGATGAATAATAAATATCACCTAAAATTGTTTGAAAGAGTGATTTATGTTTTAGCGTTGTTTCACAACTTTTACTGTGGGTACATAATAAGTCGTAGATGGACACTCTGTTGAAGCCAAAATTTCTAGCTTCTCAAGTAGGTTTAAAGTTTCTGCACGAAATTTTGGTATTTCGTTCATCCTCAAGATTATCTCCTTTTCTTTGTCTAATTTTAATAATGATTTCTTCTTCAGTTAAACATACACGGCTGTTTACTCATTTAAATGATTGAAAAAGACATTAATAGCCATTTCATTAATGTAGTGAAGTTGTCAAATCTATCACTCAATTCATTGTACTATTGAAACATGATATAAAATCAAAAATCAAAACAATATTTTTTAATCAAAATAATAATTTTTGTAACTACACTTTAATAAGTTATAACCTCACATATAATTATCACTATGTAAAGGCAAATTCCTTAAGACAAGACCTAGAAAAATTATAACTTATTACAATGTAAAATTATTCTCATTTATAACTGGTCCAAGTTGGGACCAAAAGTTTTTATGACTACATGGAGGTTATTCCTATATAGAGTATTATACTATAGAGAGGTTTTATTATATAATATGTATTGTGTATATCATACGTATATTAATCATAGAATAAATATGTTTAATTTTATTAAATTATCAAAATGATAAGTTATCATATATATATATATATATGATATTATCATATATTATATATATATATATTATCATTACGTTACATATATAATTTGTATAATACCCATAAATTCATAGTGGTACCCAGGGTCTATTGTAATATAGATAAAATACATATGTGTGATTAATTTGTTATATATAATATTTATTATCATTACTGTTTACATATATATTTCAACAACCATAAATTCATAGTGGTATGAGAGTTATGTAATATATAATAATACAAATGTGTGATTAATTTAGTGTAATTAAGCTATTAATATTAAATTTATCATGTTATGTATCACTTAATATACAATATGTATGTTCATCAATTTGCCATATTATTTTAATTAAGCTATTATATTAAAATTTGTCAGTTATGTATCACTTGATTATACAATATATTATGTCACAATTTACCATACTTGTTTAATTAAGCTATTATGTTATTAAAATTGTCATGCTATACATCAATGATTATACAATATGTATGTTCAATTTACCATTGAAAGCTATCTCATAATATTAATATGATTACATTTAGAAAAAAAATGAAGCTATTGTTATTAGATTTGCTATATTATATATCACTTGATTAACAATATTTATGTTATTAAATTTGTCATACTATGTATCATAATAATTTATATTTTTTAATTAAAAAGCTATATATATATATTTAATTATTGATGACATTTGAAAAAAAAAAAAACCAAACATATTATAATATAAGAAAAACAAAAGTTCATCCAAACTAAACCAAACATAATATAAAAAAGAAAAAAAATGTAAAATGTAATAATGTATATCATGCTTTTTGAACATAAACGAACAAATAATGGAACAGATTATTCGCGAACGGATGGATCAGTCGAACGCAGTATGTTCACGAACATAATAAATAAACATCCTATTTTGAACTCGAATTAAACTATTATTAAAACGAACATCGAACTGTTCGCGAACAGTTTGTTACCGAAATCGAATCGATAATTATCGAATGAACATTGAACTGTTCATAAAAAGCGTGTGGTCTGTTGCAGCCCTATTTGTATGTCTAATGAAAATGCCTCTAACATAACAAGAGGTTATATATCATCAAGTATGACAAAATATTTTAGAACAAAGCATATATGAATTTTAAGTCCCATGCTTGACACGTGTATGATAATAATAAAAATTAGAGGGTGGTTGTTGCTTCAAATATGTCAGGCTAAAGGGAGGTCGCTGTAAAACCTTATAATTCAGGGGAAGGTGAGTGAATAACCATTAATTAAAGGACAAACAAAAATAATATTATGGATGGCGGGTGATTACAAAAAAATGAAAAAGTAAAGTAGAAAAAGACAATTCAATTTACGAATGGGTGAATGGTCGAGACTTTGATGGCATGAACATCATTACCGTTACTGTTACTTCAAATCGAATCAAATCTGGAGAGCAAAACACAGGATTACAACATATATAAACTCTCCAATTTCAAAATTAGGTTTTTCTTTTTCATTTTCTGTTCCCTGATTGATGGAGAAGTTCAGATCAACAACAGAATGCAGAATCAACCTCCGATGATTACCATCACACCCAGGTAATTCTTTCATTTCTCTGACCATTTGTATTTGTAATTGTTATTTGATGAAATTTGTTCTCCTTTTTTTTTTTTTTTTTTTATTTTATTTTATTTTATTTCGCATTTTGGGTTTGGTACAGTTTAATAATAAGACTAAAAAGGTTTTTAATGGCATGAAGGGGGTATTGATGAAAAAAAAAAGAA